AAATGGAAGCAGAGGCACCTACTGGTTTATCTGGCCTTTCAGAACGAGGTTCGGCCCCGTCCCGGTCAGGGTGGCTGTTCCGCCGATGCTGGCGGCGTAACACACGCAGAGGGTCATCCCCTTGTTGATGCGCCTCCTGGCCACTTCCCGGTCCGGCTCTTTGATCGCCTCCTCGGGGAGGTAGCCGTTGCCTGCAAAGAGGAGTGAAATCAGCCCCGCTTGGCTCCCGCAGGAGGGGTGGGTGGCTGGGGGTTCGGCTGGAAAAGGAGAAGGGAGTGCAGGTGCGACAGGAGGGACCCAACGGGTTCAGGGTCCAGCCTCCGGCCCGCCTGCCGGGGACCCTGGGCTCCTCCAGGATCAGACACTCTAAGGTAGCCTGCCTCTGAGAGGGGAGGCTCAAGTAGACCCTGCTCCAGGCCCGAGAGGCTCTTACCTGCCTTTCCTTCCATCTCAATCCCAACACTGCCGTGGATGTGACTGACGGGCAGGTCCTGCTCCGAGCTGTTCATCTGGTCGAGGACGGCCTGGACGATGGGGACCATCATGGCGGTGGTGGCTGTATTGCTGATCCACATGGACAGGAACGCCGTGACCCCCATGAAGCCCAGCATCAGGCTGTAACGAGAGCACAGGCAGGCTTGGAGGAAGGAGCTGCCAGCTTGGAGGGAGCTCGCCTGTGGCGAGCGGAGTTTGGCACCAAGCAACCCAGCGGGGGACTGTTGAGGGTCCTCCCACCCGGTCCATGCAGAATTCAGAGGGGGTGGGTCTCAGACATTGTTGGACACAAACCTGACCTCCCTATCCCTAATGCATTTGAGGTACAGCCCTAGACCACCCTTGTCTCTTTTTGATTCGAAGCAGGGGGGTGTTTACTTACAGTGCAGGCTTCACGCCGACGATCAGCAGCACCCTCAGGGCAATCCGCTTATGCAGGTTCCAGTGCTCGACAGCCACAGCCATGATCAGCCCCCCGACAAACAGCATGTTGGTGTCCTTCAGGTACTGCATACACACCTGCCAAGAGGAACAGAGGGGGGGACTCTCACTCAGCACCCACCCAAGAGATGCTTCTGCTGTGCGTCATGGAAAGTGGCATTAGGGTTCAATAGGGGCCCTTCCAGATTTGCTCCGTCCTGGCCCTGGCCCTCCCGTGATGGTGGTGGTGGGGGAGATGTTGGCATTTGACACTCATCTAGAATGCCTCTACATCTCATCCAGGGACAGCGTTTGAGCAGAATCCAGATGGCCGTCTCTCAGGGAGGCTGCAAGCATGCCTTGTGGGGGGGGGGTTGAGATAGATGACCTTTGGGATCCCTTCCAGCTTGGCAATGGTACAATTCTGCTCTAACTACAAGAGAGGAGCCCTAATCACATTTGAGTGCACTTTCCTTACAAGGAAGACCTTATCAGAATTCAACAGAATTGAGGCTGAGCTTTAGCCCAGTCTGTTTGAACACTGCCTGGCTTCATCCACCCATCCACCCCTTGGTAGCATCTGGCTTCTGTTTGGACTGCCTCCTAATGCTTCTTCCTTAACTTATTTCGTTTCTGAATGCTGCCGTTGTTCTGTGCCGTCCGGTGGAAATGGACTTATATTGACCCCAGCAGGGCTTTAAAGAGAACTGAGATATTTAAGGAGTGGTTTTACCAGTTCCACTCCACCTCCAGTGAGTCTTCACACTGAGTGGGGATTTGAACCCAGGCCTCCTGAGTCCTAGTCCATTACACTATCCACTAAAACCCCGCTGGGGGTCTTCTGGGTGTTCTTCTCCCCTAAATGCTTTGTCTTAATCCTGGGTTTTCCTCCGCTGCCCTGCATAGACTCCCATGAGGACGAAACACGCTCAGCTCTCTCCCTGCACCCGTGTCATACCTTTTTGGACTCCAGGATGCCAAACATGGGGAACAAGATCACGGGCAGGAGAGCGGTGATGGCCAAAGGGATCACCTCCGTGCACCAGTAGATCGCCATCAGGAGGATCACGTAGCCGCATCGGGCTTCCTGTGGGCAGGAAAAGAGGAGATGCTCTTAGGACCAGCCCAGTTCCAGGTATGGAGAACAGGGTGCCTGCTCCTTCTCAAAGCTCCAGGAGTAACTGGGAGGCGGTGGCCCATTTCCCGGGCATCTTGCCACCCCAGATCTACCTTCAGAATCTCCAAACAGCTGCAAGAAACCTGTCCTGTCAGTTACCGGCCACTTCCTCCTCCTCTCCTCGAAAAAAACCACATTTTATTTGCATGCCTGGGGATTGAGATTCTTTTCCCAGTGCCGCTCCCCATAAAGCCTCGATTTATTCCCCACCTAGTTGAATGTGGTTGAG